TTTGTTCTGGACAATATTATGTACTTGCTGTATTTCAAGCAGAAGCAGTTTTGTCTTACAGTTAACTGGTTCTTCTAAGAGGAAAACACTAAAATTAGACTCCTCTGGAACTAGTCATCCCTATAAATTCTATATCAATTTATTTAATAAAAGGAGAGATTTTCTTAGAAGGAAGAGAAAGAAGGAGGGAGAGGGGGGAGAGGGAGGGAGGGAGAAAGGGATGGAGGAAAGGGGAAAGTAGGAGGAGGCAAGTTACTCATGGCCTTCATTGGTTGAAACTCCAGTAGACAAATCAACACTCAAAGGATTAGCTTGCATTTGCTTGTTTGTGAATAACAAGTCAGAGATTGCTTTGAGCCAAAAAAGTTATTTAAGGCCATGGTTCCCAAATGAGCAAGTAGATGGTAACTTATCATAGGAGATCAATTAAATAGGAGGTTATAACAAGAGTTTTTAACCCTTATTTTTTGGTGCCAGGTGCTACTTCAGTTGTCTGACAGTGTCCATTCTAAGCAAAATGTTTTTGGGATGGGTGTTTGGCCTCACAGTCAAAGGACAGTAACAATTCCTAGGTCTCACATCAGATGGAGTGCTTGAGTGTGATACCTAAGAAGCCAAAGACAACCAAGCAAAAGCATTATTCTTTTTTGGGGGTGAAAGGTAAATTGTATTTTAAAATTGATTTATTTATATAAAGAGAACAGATTTCCTGTATTTCATATACAGTTTTAAGAACATAACAATACTTCATACCCTCCCTGCTCCGTCCTTTCTTATTTTTCTTTTAATTTTTGTGACAACATATTTTCAATTTACTTTATAATCTGAAGCTTAATCCTCCACTAAATAAGAACTGAACAAGCAGAAAGTAGAAAGACCACTGTTCCTCAAGAGTACAGACAAGGGCTCTAAACACTAATCAAATCTTATGATGTCAATCTCACTCATACACATTACATTTTTGTACTCCATACATTTGCTACAACAAGTCAGAGAAAATAAATGATATTTGCCTTTTTGGGATTGCCTCATTTCACCAAGTATAATAGCCTCCAGTTGCATCCATTTTGTTGTGAAAGAGGGTTTCATTCTTCTTTTTTTTTAATGGCTGAGTAGCACCCCATTGTGTATATATACCACATTTTCTTTATCCAGTCATCAGTTGATGGACATCTGGGTTGAATCAGTATCTTAGTTATTGTGAACTGAGCTGCTATACCATAGAGTTACTGAGAACACTCTCATATGCTGATTTCATAGCTTTGGAGTATGCTACAGCTGATCACATGGCAGGTCACTTTTGAGATTTCTGAGGAATCTCTATACTATCTTCCCTAATGGTTGTACTACTTTACATTCCCACCAACAGGGGTTTTCTCCACCTTTTCCAACACCTTTTCCTTCACATCTTTATCAGCATTAAAAAGCAATATTCTTTAAAAATTTATTTATTCAATATAGAGAGAGACTCTAGCTTCCTGCCAATGCAGACCTAAGGAGGTGATGATGATGGATAAAGCAGTTGCCTGTCTCTCACATGACAAACCTGGTTTGAGTCTCTGATTTAGGTTTTGGCTCTGGCCCTGGCACAGCCCTGACCATTGCAAGCATCTGGGGGGTGAGACAATGGAAGAGAACACTCTCTGTCTTTGTCTACCAAATAAATAAGTAAAATTCTGAAGAATCATGTTTCTGTTTATTTCTTTACTTCTTAGAGAAAAAACTTTTTACTTTTAAATAATTCTAGATTCATGGGAAGTTGCAAAGAAGGTTGCCAACTTTCTCCAGTATTATCATGAGAATATACAAACCGGGATGCTGACATTGGGACAATCCACATAAGTTATGCGTATTTCAACAGTTACATGTGTACTGATGTGTCATATGTCTCTGTGTGTGCCTGTATGTCTGTGTGTAATTCCATGCAGTTTTATTAAATATGTGGCCGTGTGAACCCAGGATGACAACCAACATGCAGAACTGTTCTATCATTCAGGCTTCATTGTGATCCTTCTGTCTTGACACATTCCCCACTCTAATCCTTGGGAACCACTAATTTACTATTAATTTTTATGATTTTTTATTTCAAAAATGGTATCCGGTATTACTGAGACCTCTTCAAACTCTTTTTTTTTTTTCATTTAGCATAATCCCCCTGAGGTCCATCCCCATTGTTGTGGGTATCATATCTTTAACTCCTGTTTATTGATGAATAGTAGCCCATGGTATAGATGTCCCTCAGTTTAACCATTCTCCTCTCAATGGACATCTGGCTTGTTTCCACCTTTTAGCTATTGCAAATAAAAGCCACTGGCTTTTATTTGAACATAGGCTTTAATTTTTCTAACATATATGCCTTAAAATACAATTGGTGGTATAGTCAATCCATATTTAATCCTATTTGAAACTTGAGTTTTTCAGAGTGACTCAGCAACTTTCATCAGTAATATAAAATATTCCAGTTTGTCTTCATCCTTTCCAGCAGTTATTCTTAGCCCCCTCCCTTTTTCTTTCTTTTCAAGTCAGTTTGAAAGGTGAGTGGTGCCATCGATCTCATTGTGGCCTTAATTTGCACTTCCCTAAAGGCTAAAGATGCTGGACATCTTCTCAGGTGGTACAATCTTCTAGCTGACATTTGTATATACTCTCGGGTGAAACTTTTTGTCATGTATTTGAAGCATGTTGATCATTTTAATTGTTGCATTCTGGGACATCTTTATATAGTCTAGATCCAAGTCATTTGCCAGACATAGAATTTACAAACATTTCCTCCCATGCTATAGTTGTCTTCTCAGCCTCTGAACAGGTCCTCGTTACTGAGTAAAGACTTTTACTTTTGATAAGATCCAACTTATCAATTTTCCCTTTTCCAGATTATGCTTTTGGTGTCAATTCTAAAATCTTGTCATTTAACCATAGATCCTAAAGATTTTTTCCTAAATGCTTTATAGCTTTAGGTTTCATACTTCAGTTTTTGTCCATTTTAATTAATTTTATAAAGGTGTGAAGTTTATAACAAAGCTCAATTTTTAAAGTTATGGATATCTAATTCTCCAGTACCAATGTTAAAGGACTAACAGAAACATATTTTTGAAAGCATAAGTTACATAGTATTAGAAATGAAACCAATTTCTCTGAAAGTTATCAAATGTTTTAAAAATAAACATTTTGTGATTTTAACACATTAAATAAAATCTATCAATACAATAACTACCCTCGGTCCAAAACTTATCCTTGGTACAAAAACTTTATGTTTTTTTTTTTTTTTTGACAGCCAGAGTTAGACAATGGGAGAGAGAGACAAAGAGAAAGGTCTTCCTTCCATTGGTTCACCTCCCAAATGGCCACTACGATCAGGGTGCTGTGCCAATCCAAAGCCAGGAGCCAGGTGCTTCCTTCTGGTCTCCCATGTGGGTGCAGGGCCCGAGCACCTGGGCCATCCTCCACTGCCTTCCTGGGCCACAGCAGAGAGCTGGACTGGAAGAGGAGCAACCAGGACAGAATCTGGCGCCCCAACTGGGACTAGAACCTGGAGTGCCAGCGCCGCAGGTGGAGGATTAGCCTATTGAGCCGCGGCATCGGCTGAAAAACTTTATGTTTCTAAGCATGTACAACACCTAAGTTTTCAGAAAAATGTGTGTGATTTCTATTAGTCTTAATCTTTAGATAATGCAAATACCTATTGTGCTGAGTTGTCTATATTCATAATCAAAATAAATTCTGAAGTTTTGTCAAGCATTATTGCAAATGATGGTGCTCTTTTTCCCCACACCCACTTTCAAGAATCCCAGGTTAAGAACCCCTGATTTAGAAGAATGATGGGTTTATTCCCTGTGGTTCTAGAGATAGTTAAGCTGAAATAAATCGGTGAACACCACACTACCAATAACTGATACCTGGTTCATATCTCAGCTGAAATCATACAAGGGCATTATAACAATTAGCTGTCTGTGTATGTTCCTCAGCTGCCTGGTAAAGAAACGCATTTCTTTTTCCTGAAAATTTCTCCAACAGCCTGGGCAAGCACTCGCCAAGAAGACAACTGGGAGGACTGTAACTGACGATAGTTAAGACCCTTCCATGGGCTAGTGAGTTCTTTGGCTCTGGAGAGAAAGGGTGTTAGGACCTCATACACAGATTTCGATCAAGAGATCCGCAACCTCAACTAGACCCATGGGAAAATAAGTACTCTGAGAGTCTAATTCCAGGTCCCCCAGCCAAAGAACTTCGGAAGTGGTTGGTAATGTTTCCTCCCTGCTTTCTAAAGCATTCATGAGACTGCTGACTGGTCAACAGCAAGACTGTGCAGTTGTCAACACGACATGTAAATTCGTCTCCAGAACGGGGAAAGCACTAGCGTTTAGTAGCACAAGGTTGTCCTGTTTTGACAGCATTTTAGTTCAGGGTTCAAGAGTAATTACTGGAATAAATCATCAATAGGTGGTGGCGATATTGATTTTGTGTCAGCACCTGAGTAAACTATAACCCAGCCTCTGTCTGAAGCCATGTTCATTGTCTTTTGTGCTTTCGTTTTGAATTGCTGTCCCAAAAAGGCTTTTTAGCTCCCACATGAAATTGCCTACTGAGATGCTTTTCCCAGGAAACCTCACTGCCCAGATCACCTCTTCCCTCCCCTGCTCTCCCCTGAACAGTCTCCCTAGACCATTTTACAGCACTCTCTTAACTAGTGTGAAATGCTAATATGGATTGCTGTGATTTCTCAGCAAAGCCAAAGGAAAATGTGATTACTGGTCAGAGGGTTTCATATTAGCACTTGCTTCTGCTAATTTAAAAATAGGTTGGACTGTAGGAAAACCAATTTCCTCCCTTAACATTAGTTTGTTCTGCTGTTCTTTGTTTAATAAATATCCTATGGATCCAAACTAATATGAAGAGGAAGAGAGCTCATTCTATTCAATGCGAACTCAAAATCTAGCCAGATTTAATATTTTTGAAAACAACTTTAAACCTGATTTTCAAACCAAAATAAAAGAACTTACCTGGTTTTTAATTTTATTTTTTTGGCTGGCTGGCTCAAATAGAAAATCTCTTTGATGTTCCAAGCCTATTAAACATGAAGAGATAACTCTGAATGAATGTCAAGACACTGAATCCAGATACTCTCACCTTAAATACACTCAGATTAAATAGCTTTTGCTTCTCTGGATGATAACAAAAGACAGATAACGAAGCAGAGCACAAAAACCAAAGCTACTGCATTTGCAGAACAACAAATCTGCATCTCATTTAAGTCGTCTCCTACATTTTGATGAGGACTAGATACGTGTGTATACCAGAAAAATTACTCTTCTCATCCTCTTTCATTGTGTTTTGTATTTGGATAAATGTTTCTGAATTTTCTAGTTCAAAATTCAGACTCCCTCCTTATTCTCAACAGTTTTTTGCCTGTGTTGACCCATTTGTATACACGGAGCTCTCCTTCCCTGCTGTATACTCCAGGCCCTTCTCTGTCATCAACCCTTCATTCTCTCCATTTCACCACGTGTTTGCTTCTACTTGTAGCCAAGATTCTCAGAGCATCAAAGAAAACTTAGGATAAATTTTAATAATTGTATAATTTTAGCATTTGTGTATCACTTTACATTTTATTAAGCTGTTATTTTTAAAAGATGTATTTAGCTATTTATTTGAAAGGCAGACTGTCCAAGGGGTGGGGCAGTGAAGGTGAGAGAGGGAAGTGGAGAGAGAGAGAGAGAGACAGAGAGAGAGAGATGGAAACATTCCATCCCTGGTTCACTCTCCAAAGGGTCACAACACCCATGTCTGTACCAGGCTGAATCCAGGAACCAGCAGCTCCCGCCTGGTTACCCACATGGGTGGCAGGGGCCCAAGTACCTAGGCCAACTTCCACTGCCTTTCCCCACACATTGCAGGGAGCTGGATCCTAAGTACAGAGTAGCTGGGACTGGGACTGGTGCTCTGATATGGGATGCCAGCAGCTCTAGCAGTGACTTAACCCACTGCACCACAATGGCAACTCAGGTTATTATCGCTATATTTTACCAATAAAGAAACAGAACATTATGTTCTTAAAATTGCATCCACAAATCACATTGCATGTGTTAAAAAGTAATTACAAATCCAAATTTAAAGATTTTTTAAGAAGAAAAAAATAAATGGAACATCGAAGAATTAAGTTATGGGCTCAAGCAAGATCAAGCATTCCTTACAGCAGGGTATTCTTGAACTCTTGTTTTCTGCTGATCTTTCACTCTTTGACTACTACTGGTTAAGAAAAAATCTCTCTTTGATTATGAATGTTTTCCAGGTCTCTCAACTCTTTCACCTTTTGTGTTGAGTTTTCTCTTTCTTCTGCCCACGTCAGATACCCTTGGTTCCATATCTAATTGTGTGTGTTTGGGTTGCCAGGAATACCCCTGGATCTCACAGATAAATCCCATACAACTCATGTACTTGTATATTTGAATCTTTGCCTAGAAAAATTCTTAAAGAATGGAGGTCCTTTAATAGTTATTACTCTTTTGTAACTGCGCCAAAAGAACGTATGCTTCACCCCAGCACAGCGCCTTGAAGATAGCAAGCATTCAATAACTATTTGTAGGATGAATCGGTGACTATACATTTAGAAATCTCTGACATGCCATCAAAACATTTCCAAGCCTTCTCTAGGGAGTGTCAGGCTAATGTAAATGTGAGAGAAAACTCAGCAAATGTCAACAGGCTATAAATAATCACTTGGTCTATCAGTGTAGGGAATTTACATATACAGACATTTCCTTTGATGAATGCTAAAGCTCATAATGAAAAGGAACATGTATTCAAAGAATGAAACATCTGAACTAACACAGTGAAAAATCACGATTTGGGGATCAAAGGCCTGGCTTCGCATCTCAGCTCTGTCACTTTCCTTAGACCAGCTATCGAATCTTCCTGAGCTTGTTTCCTTGTTTTCAAACAGGCTTGATAACATCCCCTCACATGATTATTGTGAAACTCAAATGAGATAACGCCTGCTGAGTGCCTTTGGACACCGAATGGGCACTATACACTCCTACGTTTCACTTCTTTTTTTCTAGTAAGTCCTGAGGGCAACATCCAAGTTTTATCTTTAAAGGATTGACAAGTCACTGAATTGCTACAGATACAAAAGTCCCTAGAAGCATATTACAGATTTGGCAACTTCAAAAACTACTACTATTTTAAAGATTTATTTTGAGATTCTGATGTCTCTTAAGCCCTAATTTGGGCATAAATAGGATTCTGCCCAATTGGAGTCCTTTCACAAATGTGGGTACTTAAAAAATGGGTGGAAAATGGAATTAAAAGATGCTTCTTTTGGTGAAAAAATTGAAATCCATGCATAGTTTATTCATAATAAACTTTCTCCATGAATTTAAGAATAATTTATTTATTTGAGAGGCACAGAGAGGGAGAAAGATAGCTCCTATCTGCTGGTTCACTCTCCAAATGCCCACAGTGGTGGAGGATAGTTAGTGGTCAAAGCTAGGAGCCAGGAACTCAGTCCAGGCCCACCATGTGGGTGGCAGAAACCCAAGTATTTGAGCCATCACTGCTGTCTCCCAGGGTCTGCATTAGCGAGAACCTGCAGTTAGGAGCCCAAACTCATAATCCACACAGGCACTGTGGTAGGGAACGGAGGCCTCTTAACTAATAGGCCAGCACTCATTCCAGCCACGAACTGCTTGGGGACCCCTCATAGGCCTGGATTTCACGTTCAATTTGCACCAAAATAACTTCCATTAACTTTTCAAAGTACCCTCACATATTCACACGTCTAAATCTTCAGCTACATTCTCAAAACAAGGGGAGAAAAAGAGTAAGATGTGGTCCCTTTCATCAGGAGTTCAGTTTTGGGGGGAGGAGTGGCACACATGCAAGCATTCAATCACAGCTGAGTAGATGAATGGAAGTGTAGAAGTATGGGTGGGTGGGCAAGTGTCCAAAGTGTTCAAAGAAGTGGAAGCCAGAAAGGCTGGGGGAATTTCAGATGGTATCTCAGAAAATTTCTAACAGTTGAACTCTCCTTGAAATTCATTGACACTTTTTCCACCTGCATAAATATTTTGGAGATGAACAACAAATAGTGTGATTTAGTCCAGGCCCCAAGGTGGCCTTGCTTCTGACCCTGAGCGCTCAGTTGTTGCCTTGACTTTTTTTTTTTTTTGCTTTGATTTCTTAAAAATGATTTTATTTATTTGAAAGGCAGAGTTATGGAGAGACAGGGAGAGATGGAAAGAGAAAAAGTGAGATCTTCCATTCATAGTTTCTCTCCCCTGATTGGCTGCAACAGCCAGGGGTGAAAGCAGCTGAAGCCAGGAGCCAGGAGCTTCATCTGAGTCTCCTACGTGGGTTCAGAGGTCCAAGTATTTGCACAATCTTCCACTGCTTTCCCAGGGGCATTAGCATGGAGCTGGGTCAGATGTGGAGCAGCTGGGACACAAACTGACGCCCATGTGGGGCTGCACTGCAATGCTGGCCCCTTTCTTGCATTATTACAGTTCCTTCGGCCTCTTGGTGTAGCTTCACTAACGTGTATCATCTAATACTGTGACTCAGCCCCTACTTATAGGTAAAGGTCTGCTGCCTGCTCTCCTTACTCACACCAAGCAAATACAGCTACAGATCTGGTTTAATAATGTTTGTTCTGTCAGCTATTTCCACGATATGTCAACTCAGAGATAATACTACCATCTAGGGTTGGGGAGATCTCAATGCTGCACAGTCAGGTGAATGAACTAGCTCCAAAAAATTACATCAAAGGACAGAAAGCTTGAGAGTTGACAATTATTTCTTGATGATACAATACTACAAACAATAGAAGGAGCAGGCTGATCTATCTCAGCCAATATTTCATGGACATTCACATACATACTTCTAATTAAATTCTTGTCAACACTATGATAAGGATATTATGAGAAAGCTTGGTGCAGAGGTAGGCCCAGAAATTTAACACAAAAGTCTGCCTGATTCCAAGGTCCAGGCACCTAGGTCTTAACCATGATGTGTTCTGCCTCCTGGTTCCTATCCAGCCTCCAACAATACTTTTTAGAGTTTTACTTTATGGTATTTTCCAGAACTTTTCAGTGACCAATTCTAATGTCTTTCTCAATGGAGTCATGGTTTTGAGACTCTTCTGTTCCACAATTTTGAAAATTTATTGGTGTAGGGCATCCAGTAACTCAGATTTCTCCTCTAAGATCCTCTGATCCTCTGTACTGAAGGGTCTTAAATTCCTTGTCAATGTGTTAAGTGAAGCAAGCACTTCCTACATATGTTCCTTTAATGCTATAACTTTTTTAAGATTTTTAAAATTGTATTTATTTGATAGGTAGAGTTACAGACAGTAAGAGGCAGAGACAGAAATAAAGATCTTCCATCTGCTGATCACTCCCCAAATGGCCCCAATGGCTGGAGTTGGGCCAATCCAAAGCCAGGAGCCAGCAGCTTCTTATGGATCTCCCACATGGGTGCAGGGGCCCAAGGACTTGTGCCTCTTCCACTGCTTTCTCAGACCATTAGCAGGGAGCTGGATTGGAAGAGGAGCAGCCGGGACTAGAACTGGTGCCTATACGAGATGCTGGCCCTGGAGGAGGAGGCTTAGCTTACTATGCCACAGCATCGGCCCTGCTATATATCTTTTGATAATCAAATATCCCAAGTGGGATATATTCTGTGAACATCTTAAGGGTGGTGAGTGGGAAAAAGCAACAACAACAAAAATAAATAAAAGCTAAACACTCAGGAAGCAGGGGCATTCAGTTCCATTGGTCCATCTGCTGGTGGTCTAATTCTGCCTCCTATGTTTAGAGACTTCACAGACTCAGCATCTGAGGGGATTATTTTAGCCCTCAGAGTGGTAGATGAGCTGAGATACTTGAAAATACACTAAAAGGGAGATCTTACTCCAAATGTCTTGTTCATAAAACAAGAGAGCCTATAGGTAGGAGTAATTCTGAACTGGTCATTCATGGACATCACTAAGGCCTTAAGTGTCTGCATCTTTCTGCTCTTAAATCCACAGATCATTTTTCAACAGTGGATAAAGCTTCACCTTCAACCTGGTAGGCTTCCATCATGGAAACACCCACGGCTTCAGCAGATCAGAGCCTCACATCTACATACCGCACAGTCCAGAAAGGAACAGGATACTTTTTTCTAGAAGCTTCCCCATTGCCCTTGGATCCCTTGTATTACATCTCACTGAACTAAATTAGGTCATAGAACTTTTCTTATACCAATTTCTACCCAAATTGTTCTGAACACCACCATGATTTGTTTGCATAGGCCTGGGTTATCATGGCCAGTCATGACAGTAAGGAGAATGGGCTGTCCTTATTGGCTGAGACTCCCATGCACTTGCCTCTTAGCTGACGATGGTGCCATGTTTTACCAGAAGATGACAGAGGTATTGAGAATGGGGTATTGAGGGGAGTGGACAATCAACAACCAGCAAACACATTAACCAGAAAGATGTAAGAAAAAGCACTGGATCAATACTCTTTGTGAAGAACATATTAAAACCCTGAGCATGTCTAACAGAATGTTGTTTATGATACATGCTTTTTATATATGTAGTCCAATTCTCTCAAGTTTTTTAGAGGAATAAATTCCTCTTGTCACTTTTTTGAAATTCTTCCAGTTGGCCGGCGCCACGGCTCACTAGGCTAATCCTCCACCTAACGGCGCCAGCACACCAGGTTCTAGTCCCCGTCAGGGCGCCGGATTCTGTCCCGGTTGCCCCTCTTCCAGGCCAGCTCTCTGCTGTGGCCCGGGAGTGCAGTGGAGGATGGCCCAAGTGCTTGGGCTCCTGCCTTCGGATCAGTGCAGTGCGCCGGCTGCAGTGAGCCAGCTGTGGCGGCCATTGAAGGGTGAACCAATGGCAAAAGGAAGACCTTTCTCTCTGTCTCTCTCTCTCACTGTCCACTCTGCCTGTCAAAAAATAAATAAATAAATAAATAAATAAATAAATAAAAAAGTTAAAAAAAGAGAAATTCTTCCAGTTAACTAGCAACAATATCATTATTAACAAAGGAGCATTTTCATATGACTTCATTTTTGGCTTGAAAGCATTTGTGCATTCACTAAATATTTTTAGCACATAATATGTAAATGATATTGCATTAGTTCCATGAGGAATACAGATAGAAAAGATTCCATGACAGAATTTAAGAAACAATGGGAGAACATATTTTTAAACAGTGCATAAAAAGAAGTGATGCATGCCTCAATGTAAGTGCAAACAACTCCAAAAGTCCATATGTAGTTAGAGAATTTCTGGCATTATGCACTAGACAAGAACATGGGATGGTAATATTTCTGAACCTGCATGTTAACCAATTGAAAATTGGTTACGTAATCAATAGGAAAGGAAGCAGCCAGTGTGATATGGCTGAAGGGATCTGATTGATGAAAAACTTAATATTTAGTCTGCCTGGAGAGTAGTGTGTGTGTGTGTGTGTGTGTGTGTGTGTCAGGGGGTATATATGGGAGAGTTGCAGAGAGTGAGTATGTTAGGTTCCTACTGGGGAAACAGAAACCAGTATTTGTTCTTAAGTAAAGTAAATGTGATGCAAAGCCTTATTTACTTAGCTAAGGGAAGTGCAGAGACGCTGCACATCGACAGCTACACAATCTGCAGGTAGGCCCAGCCGGAAGCTGCAGAGGTGCAGGGCAAGGCAGGGCAGTGGTGGTAATGGAGATCGGAAGCCTGAGTCACTCAGCAGAACACAAAGGAAAAGGCAAAGCCATAGGACCAAGCCTCTGCCCACAGCACCCTCTTTCACAGGCGACAGAGGACATCTGGCAGATCTAAAGATGATGAAGGCATTGATAGATCATCGTGACTGAAGGCTGCATGCGGGGACTGGGATGAAGTAAAATGAGCTGGACAGAAAGGATCCCAGTAATTGTTTAAGTGAAGCAGCAACTGAGGAAACTGATGCCCCCCTGGGAGACTGGCTATCACCATGGGAGAGCCTGGAGCCGGAGCCAAAGCCTAGCATCTTCCCAACAAAACCAGATAATGAAGCTGGCCCAAACCTAAGAATCACTCCACACTCTCGTATCCTCCCTGACTCAGTGTAGACTCCTCTTTCATTTCTGTGTCAAAATATAAAGGCATACACTCCAGACATTTAATTGCATATTTAAGGAACACAGGTTAGTCGGACTTTCCATGTCAGAGTCTCTGGTGGACTTAAACCAGTGCCTGTGTTTCTTACCAGTATAATCCCTATTTATATAGACACTTTCCTAGCATGGTAAGATAGCACAAGTCTTTACATACAGCTGGAATATCAATTGCCACCCAAAAGACCAAACTGCATTGTTTAATTCTGGCCATATTTCACAAGGATGGAGACTATAAACACAGGGGTGAGCATGGAGCAGGGCAAGAGCAGATGATGTAATGCCTATGAAATAACCCAAGGGGATACAAATGAGTTCACATTTCAGTGTCCGAACCCCAACAATTTAACAGCTGTGTGCCTTCTCATCCTTGTCCTCGCCTAATTACTCAGGCTCTTTCAATGTTTCTTATCACTCTGGTGCTTTTGAGCCTCCTCCCAAAGGTTAGATCCTTTCAACAGATTCTTTCCAATGACTACACTTGCTGTAGTGTCCTTGGAGGAGATGAATGCTTCTTCAAAACAATAACACTGCTTTCGGGGATGACTGTAGCTACCTAAAGCAGACGCGCTGTAGGACTGACTACAGACCGCAACTCTCCCCTCCCCTCGGTAAAACAAGAAGAAATAAAGACGACGACTTTTCTGTGTAGGCTTGTTATGCTGCAACTCGTATGAAATGAAACTCCTATGTATTCATCTCCTTTAGTAGCATGCCTTTGTAAGTTGCCCGCTCTGTGGTTTATAAATTATTTTAAACTCTTACACGACTACTCAAAAATATAAATGTGTGTGTTAATATTGTAGACTAGGACTGCTGATAATACAAGGGAAATTTAACTAGCTTATAAATGTTAAAATGTAAAAGCAAAGGAAGCCTTGCTATTCATCTTCTCTGCAATATTCAGACATTCATGAAATTGAAAGTTAATGTACCAGGGACTTTCATGATCTGACCCATTCCATCCTATCTATTAGATTCTCAAAGCACAGGAGACAGAGGACCAATATGTCACCAACACAGGACTGGAAAGGTCACAAAAACGAAGCATCAATAAAGCACTACTTCTGAATTAAATTTCACAGTGCTCAGCAGAAAATATGTTCCATGAGCTAGGAATATTTGTAAGAATGGAACTGACATCTAGCTACAACTTGAAGAAAATAGCAAAGTATGTCTTGATTCAAAACATTATGTGAGAATTATGGACTTAGCTGGAGAGGAGGAAGGAAGGGGCAATCAAGCAGAGAGATTTGCAAATAGTCAGGGATAGCCTGGAAAGAATGGAGGGGCTGAGGGGGGAGGGAGAAGTGACAGAGAGGAGAGAGAGTGCAGGGACATTTTATGTTGTAGAATATTAGGAGAATTCTCCCAAAAGCACTCTTGTCAGTAAAATCAATTGGAGTTAAGTACCCATTAAAAGACAGAGATTCACATCTTTTGGTTTTACATCTCTTCCAATAAGAGGAGACAAATATTAGTTTAGATAATTATATGAATAAAATTAAATATGTCCCAAATATCTTTAAAAGGAATGTGATAAGCATTACACTGGGAAAAAAGACTGTTAAGAAAGAGGAGGAAACTTTATTATAAAGTTTACTTTTGTATCTAAAATACATGAGTCCCACAAACATTTATTAATGATGATCTTTTATCATACATATTATGTTTTTCTTCTCTTCTTTTGATGACTGAATCAATTCTCCCTTGCTTTTTCTAAATATATCACATACTTTAACTTAAAATATTTAAATAATTAGGGCATTAGTTTGACAGTTGAAAAAAAGAAGTGAAAAATAACCAAAATCTAACTGCTTGAAAAAAAATGTGCTGTAGGATCATTCTTCCAGATTTTAATAGGGGAGAGATTAAAATCATGGTCATTTGACATAAAGCAAGAAACAGTCAGATAATCTTTGAGAAGAGAAGAGTCTTGCTCCAATAGCCCCAGAGTTCCTCGGGCTACACGATTCCTTAAATGTTTTAGTCCATTACATTTTGTACAACTCAGCTGAAAAATTCAGGTGTGCAATTCAATAATTGCTGTCTTCTGTGATCACCATTCCTTTAAGGATCACCTGTAGTAGTTAGCAGCCTACAAATGTTCTGAAGCATCCGCCAGTTTCCCTTAACCAGCCTCGGGAATGAAGATCTTGTACGATATTTTAAAAATAACTCTTTCTGCTTCCCTGAACGCAGGGCTGCTGTGTTGCCCAAGCCTACAGGTCTGTTTTAAATTCAAATGGAATCTGAGGATCTTGACAGAAAGGACCCCAGAGAGGACTTGTCCAATTGACAACAGAGAATCCAATAAGTCTTTTCTTCTTAAGCCTCGAGATGTTATGTTGGGAGAAAAAGAAGAACGCAGGAGCAGAGGGAATGCTAATAACCCGAGCAGGTCTGGGGTGGAAAAGTCTTTTCTTTCAACTCCTTATCACTTGCATATTCTTGAATTTACTGCCAAAACCTTAAAATTAATAAATGTGGCAGTTGTATAAATGGTAAGTGGAGTTTAAGCTTGCTGATTTGACCCATTTTCATTAGATATGGAGCTTCGATATTTCCATTAGAAATATCTTTTTGCATTAAACTAAAGACGAACACAATTGACATTCAACTTGGACTTATTATGTGACTTATGGTTATGTAAAGAATAGCTATTTGAGTCAGATCTAGATATCCTTAAATTCATCTTGCACCAGATCAAAAGGGGAGATTTGCTACATTTCTGCAGGAACCACTATTCCTCTTCCATATGCCAGAGGGTAAAGCTTTTATGTTGGCAAAGATGTATGTAACTGGGTCCTTCAATAATTCGCAGAGACGGAGAGTGTATATTCCTTAGAGAAAAGTGCACCGTAAGGTTTAGGAGAGGTAACAACACAGGCAAAAACTACCTAGCAAGAGACTGCTTAACATGTTTCCTGTTACTATTCTCAGTGACGGCTATTATGTTTAATTAGATCTTCCTGACAAAATTCATTACAGGAAATCCTGGCTTAGTGAAGAAATAATAAACTCAGCTCATTCATAACCGATTAATTATTTTGCTTTTAAGGAACTAGGATGCTATTTTCCACCCCTTTTTTCTTTTCTAGTGTCTAAAAGACTTGAATGCAATGCCCTAGAAGTAAAAGGGAAGGCAAATGGAAGCAGGTGTTAAACAAATAAACAGAATTCTCCAGCCCACCTGTCTACAGTAGCCCCATCCTCCACTTCCTGGGACAGAAGAGTAAATACAAAGCGCTTTCTGGGAGGCAGAAGAAGGCAGAGATCGTCTAACATCTCGCATGTCCTCTTTCGCCATCTCCATGGCTGCTCTTGGTAAATTCATGCCTGTTTGCCCTCTGGTATTAACAAGTCACCTCTATGCAGACAGAGTTCTCTGACTCTGCTCCTGCAACCAATGCACCCTTCACCCAGCGCCTAGAGTGAGTCTCCTGAAGTACAAACACTGTGTTTCTTCCTCTTCAGCGCTGTCCCACTACCTTTGAAATAACGAGTGCATATATAATACGGCATCCAAGGTCCCCCATCACCTGGCATCTACCTAAATCAACGATCTTATGTTGTTTCAAACCCCCAATCCTGGCACATGCCACCCTCACCCAATGTTCCTGCTGCCCAGGTAGAGTGATCTGCAGCTCCTTTGAATCAGAACCTCCCTCTGAGTGTTAAGGTATTAATTCATGAGCTGCCTTTACCCAGCCTGTCTCCATCTCCATTCTACCCACCTGGAGAGCATCTGGAAATCAAAGAGCTTCTGGTGAGCCTCCATGATTGCTGCCTTCTCTCTCTCGCTTGCTCTCTCTCTCTCTCTCTCTCTCTCTCTCTCTCTCTGTAAAAGATTTATTTATTTATTTTGAAAGTCAGAATTACAGAGAGAAAGCATGAGCAGGGATACAGAGATCTCCCACCTGCTGGTTTACTCCCCAGTTAGCTGCAAAGGACAGGGCTGAGCCAGGGTGAAGCCAGGAGCCAGGAACTTCTTCCAGGACTCCCACATGGGTGGCAGGGTCTCAAATACCCAGGCCATCTTCTGCTGCCTTTTTCAGGCCATTAGCAGGGAACTGGATCTGAAATGGAGCAGCCTAGACCTAATTGGTGCCGGTATGGGATGCTGGTGACACAGGTGCTACATTACAACAATGCTGGTCCCATTGCCCTCTTGATCGATATGCACACATACATGTTATATAAACACACAGAGAATACATTCACGCATATGCACATATGTATGAGCAGGTATGCATATTCATACTTAGGCACCAAATTATTATCAGCTACATTTTTAGCAAAAGTAAAGCAAATGTTTCTGAAAACACATTATGAGAAAATTTGCCTCCCATATTGGTAGGTCTAACTGTAAGCTCAGATACAGAGTCTGAGACAATGCAAGGCATACGTATGTTGTCTGTGAATTAGGAGAAGGCCGCTAGTCTATCTCTGATGAACAATGAGAATCCTCCCAGAGCTGGCGAATCAGTCTTCAGAATTTGAGAGTCACAGGGGTTCTCCTCCCTTCTCAGCAGTTGCCAGGTCACACAGAAAACTGCAGGAGGTAGGGGTCCAATCAACTTACTGCATCCTCCTTACTGGCTTTGAGTTTTATGGGTCCAGTGCACTGGAATTCTGAGAACAACACGTACATTTGGCTGATGCTTACATTTCTTGAATTGCAATGAAAGCCAGTGCCCTTGTAAGAATGTTCCAAGATTAGATGAACAAATTCATACTCATCAAATTCATATTCCTCATGGGTTTCAGATTTTGATCATCGCTCCTTCAGTCTCCATATGGAAAGGCTAAAACCCTAAGGGTTTAGTCCTCCTGTGGCATGCCTAGCTGCCCCTGTTCCCTTGAATATTGTGGTTACATAAAGCTCGTTCTTGGGGCCGGCGCTGTGGCATAGCGGGTAAAGCCGCTGCCTGCAGTGCCGGTACCCCATATGGGTGCCGGTTCTAGTCCCGGCTGCTCCACTTCTGATCCAGCTCTCTGCTATGGCCTGGGAAAGCAGTAGAAGATGGCCCAAGTCTTTGGGCCCCTGCACCAGCATGGGAGACCTGGAAGAAGCTCCTGGCTCCTGATTAGTGCAGCTCCTGCTGTTGCGGTCCATTGGGGCATGAACCAGCTGATGGAAGACCTCTCTCTCTCTGTCTCTCCTTCTCTCTCTGTATAACTCTGACTTTCAAATAAATAAATAAATCTTTTAAAAAATATTTTTCTCTTCAGTTTCCTTGGACTTTAAGGTCTTCATCTACCCTTGAGTTTAAGGTCTTGTGGCCCAAACTGTACAAAGTCTCCCAAGTGTAGTTCAAACCCTGCTATTTTTACAAGGACAAGCCATGCTTTGTTTTGGCCTTGCTGCTGATTCCAGGCATTTCTCTGGCATTTTAGGAAAACAGCCTACATGGTCCATTTTCAGGACTGATGAAATTTAGTTCAGTTCAGCTCAAGAAATGTTGATTGAGCAAAGACCATGAGCTCAACACTCTCATCACTATATTTAAACAATGGTTGAAAGGCATCATTTCATACAGCTAGCAGAGATCGGGGCACAGAGGGTAATAGGTATTAGTGCTGGGCAGGATTTATAAAATCAGCAGTTCCAATCATTTCGACTTCCTATAATCCAGGAAGCTGCCTCTTTGAATGAAAGCTCATTAGAATGTAAATGCTCAGCAAATAAAAACTGAGCTGCTATAGTGAAGCAATTGTTTTGGAGACAGAACCACGTCCCCTGCATCTTCTGCTCTGGATGCACATAAATATTCATAGAACATGAGGCTCTAGAAGCCTGGTTCAGGCCCCACAACACATTTACAGAGAGGCAGCTGAGGTGCTGAAAGCTGGATTGCAGATGGTTCCGAAGGCAGAGATTGTCTCTGTGGTGCAGTACGGGCACCACTATGTTCCCTGTACTTTCCTTGCCTTGATACTCACTGGCAATTGTTTTTTTGCCCATCTCTTGTAAAGACAGTCTTCTAAACTGGCCTACTGAGTTTCTCATTTCACTACACCTGAATTTATTAGCCTCTCCATCTTTCTTTTCTCAGTTCTTCCTCCCTCCCTCCTCCCTGCTTGCTTGCTTCCTTCCTTCCTTCCTCTCTTCCTTCCTTCCTTCTCTGCCTCCATCCCTCCTTCATCCTTCCTTCCCACTTTAAATATGAATGGAATGAGGCTAAGTTCCTCATACCATCTTCAATTTGCTTACTTTTCCAAATCCTTATGTTGGCAGAAGCCTGAACCCAGGCTCCAGAGTTATGCTTCCATCCAATCAGACAAATCAATCTCTATTTGTGCCCTGATCTCATTTTTCATAAACGCCTTCTGAATGCATTTACTTGGTGTAATTCCTTTAACTCACCCCATTTTCCTACATTACTTCCTCTAATCAAGAAAGATGGTCAGATTAGAATTTTTTGGTGAAAGAAGCCCATGGTCTCTGGAAGTCCCTTTAATACCCTTGAAAGGCATATGATGATCGGTGTTAATAATCACCCCCATTGGGCTTCTCTTTGGGTTGTGGGCAGCCACTGAAGCTGCTAAAAAACCCTGCACTGCATGTTTTGAGACCTGCCAAAGACAAAGGGACATGCCAGCAGCTTGAGCATGATCCTAACACATGAAAATATATACAACAGCTGACAGACCGATAATAACACAATAGTGATGACCTCAGGTTATCTGTTCAGTAGCAAGTTCTTCCCACATGGCCTTAGTTATAAATGTAATATGACACAAATGAATGATGAACAGGGAAACAACCTGTGTCACTTTAAGAGTTGTGAACTATATTTTTATGCTGAAAACTAATACAAGTGATAAAGGAATAGACACTAGATCAAAAATATGAAAACCATTTCTTACCCCATGCTCATGATGCTCTGTTGTTGGAGCCCAGGACCTTCTCTGGAGGAAATAAAGTGTATGTGAGGAGGGTGACAAGCCATTAGTAGAATATTCTGTAGCATTAGCGATTCTCAAGAGTGAAGCTGCCCTTTAAAAATAAAACCTGCTGAGCTTGGCCAGACATTAGTTACACATCTTTTCCCCACAGTGTTTCATTTCACAAATGATCATTGTGGTAATGCTAGTCATTGAGGATTATTTCACTACATTCTAGGAGGAGGGTCAAATGAGGTGAGGGTGGAAAGAGGGAAAAGAGACTAAAAATTGCTCTAATTTCCTAATCCAATGCATTGTGACTAGTAATCTCCACAGGAACCTATTCACTGCAAGGAAGAATGACAACGTTGCCCACACGGGGCTACCTGCATTTCTAATCCACACATTAACTACAGTAATATCACAACTATCAATGCACATATTTAAAAGAGACTCCTGGCATATTCTGTTCAAGTTCTATGTTCTCTGAACAAAAATGTTGCCATGGAAACCTCTACCATAAGGCAGGTGTAGTTCTGCAAAGGACTATGGGCTATGAAATCAGGTTCCCATGGCAACATTTTTGTTCAAAGTCTAAAGAATCTTAAATACATGTGCCAATACATATTATTACCCAGCAGGATACACAGGTGGGATTAATAAAGTTCAATATTTGCTCAACTAAAAGTTGTAATCACAGTGAAAATAAGTGAATTAAAATCAGTTCCTAGGCATAGCTTATATAAACAGAATTTAGAGTTGTAACACTACTTCTACATGAATAAGTAAACATATGTAAAGTATTAATAGATAACTTTTTCTTCTATAAATTCATAAAGCAGACCAATCTTCACAAAAATTATGCAGTTTTAAAATTTGAAATGTTATCTTTAACTCATTATTCACTGATGAGACTAAGTCACTCAAACTTATCAAAGGAAATTAACATCACATTGTCCACCTGAAACAGATCTCATTATTACGGCGGCCAAACAGCTACAACACCAAAAAATAATGTCAGGTTGATTCATCTATGTTACAGAGCTCACGCTAATATAATGTGCCAGTTGGGATATTTATGATAATTGCCATTTCTAGAGCCTCAAAAGATCCATATAAATATGCCATGAACCAAATTAAGAAAAGCTTTCGCTTTATCTTCTACAGATAATCCAGAAGATAATAATGATTCATTACAATAATCTTTCAGAATATAAAGAAGACATACTACGTAAGGCAAAGATGTTATCACATGGATATATTTACATTTTTATATATTTATTTTAATTTTTATTTATTTTAAAGGCAGAATTATATATAGAGAAAAAGAGACCTAACCCACTGGTTCACTCCCCATATGCTCAATACCTGAAATAGTTAGGGCTGGGCGAGGCTGAAGCCAGGAGCCTGGATCCCAATCTGGGTCTACCATGAAGTAGTAGAGATGCAAGTACCTGAGCCATAACCTGCTGGCTCCCAGGGTGTGCATCAGCAGGAAGCTGGAATAAGAAGTAGAGCTGGAACTCAAGGCACTGTAATATGGGATGGGTGCTTCCCAAGTGATGTCTTAACTGCTGTGCCAAATGCTGGCCCCAAGTCCTAAAAGGAGAATTCTCTTACTCATTACCATTTCACATCTTCAAAGTCTCATAAAATGTCAAAATAAAATTAGCAAACACCAGAGTACATGGTCTTTGAGGTCAGAGGCCATGTCTGGTTCTACACAGAGAAAAGAACAGAGTAGATGTTCAATAAATAGCATTAAATGAATGGATGAAATGCGTTAGCGATGTGGCTGATAAAGAATCTTTGGTTGTCAATTGTCTTTCACAAAATAATAGATATAAAACTAGCACTCAGGTGAAATTTTCCCACTACATTTTATATTCACACTTCCCATTCAGATACATCTCACC